AGCATGAAGCATTGAGTCCCCTAGCTAAAGCTTTATTAATAGTGCTTTCTCCTAGCAAACCGATGAGAAGCTACTATCTGAACGGGATCCGCATCCAGCGCTTTCACGAAATTGGCAATTTCACCCATAGTGGGTTTCGCATTTCCATGTGCAAAGCTGAATTTAATCATCAGCTATGTTTCAATGGACATCTCTAGCTGGTTACTTCCAGGCAGCGATAAAAGCGAACGAGCGCCAGACAATAAACAAGAACCGCAACAATAGTTGCTATCGAATAAACAGACTATCGCGTGATCCGCATTGAAAAACACAGCTGCTGCTAGAAAAGCTAATCAACAACAGGTTTGTGGAGTATGTTCATATGAACATCATATTAAATTTATACTGTATTTGAACTAATATAACAAAAGTTGGAGGAGCGATATTTGTGAAATTTAAAAATCAAACATAGTATCGAGGCCTTAAACCAACCGGTCAGCACTCGTTTTTATTTCAGTTACCATGGGGACTTGTGAGTATCCCCCGTCCATTTCAAATTATTTCATTATTTATGAACGGCCCTTGTATATAAAATGACGTTTCACATTCATCTAGTGATCTCCGATTTTTATTCGAATTATTGATTAATCGATTAACGAACCGAAAAGTCAAATATTTGTAATCGGTTGTATCATGCCTATATAAGCTTTAACTTCTCCAGAGGATCATCTTCCATCGTTTCAAACATGTTCTGCACTCTCACTGGTTGAAAAATGACAGCAAAGTGAACAAAAAATAATCGATTAGTTGTAAATTGATTAATTATCTGATTTCGGTGTACTTGTTTTGATAAAAAAAACGCAATTTTTTTACTCTACCAAGGGGGCAGCATAAACACAAAAACACCTGGGGGTATTGATTAGATGAGAGGGAGCGTGAAAGAGGACACTAAAATAGAGAGTTTTTTCTTCGGACTGTTTCATCTTTTTTTTTTTCTTTGCTTTAACCAACATCAGTATTTACCGTTATTTGTTTTTTTTTTTCTTCAGAATAAATCATCGACCATATATTGCAATAAACCCTCATTATATTTTTGCTCAAAGCTACGATCTATAAATTTAATTCCTGCGAATATGCAATGAATCCTTAAGCTTTTTTTAATTTTCATTTGATGACAGATTTAAATTTTATCTCCTTCAAGACTAATGAAGACGTGATTTTTGCACTCTTCAATGCAATTCCCATCAATATGTGACTGCTTTTAGTGCATACACTACGCCACGTCGTGCCTTATTAAGATACCGATAAAAATGTCACGTACCATTTGATTAAAAAAAACTAATTTACCGCTTCATTAGCGCATTATCAGTGACCAAGTATATTGCTGTGAATACATTGCATTGCAATATGTCATTTTGGTAGATATGCTGATGCAATGCACTTGGAATCAAACAATCCAGCACGACTCTTAAAAGCTGGATGTAAGGAAAATCAAAGTTTTCTTTCTGAAAGCAAAATCATATTTTGTACACGAATGGAGAAAACTTTGGATTTCAGCGGAGGTTTAAAAGTTATTTGCTCATGCAATTCACTCCAATTTTTACTTTTCTATTAAACTGTTTAACAAAGCATATCGAGTCTTATTTAAGGAAAATTAATTATGATTGCAATGTAATATAAATTCGTCGAATTAAAAAAAAACTACTTTTATTATATCAAGACCTATATAACAGTTATCTACTGTCGTTTCATAAGGACCAATGTAGCAAACGAAAAGAACAACTTAATCTGCCAATTTCTCGAGAATCAAAAATCACTCAAGTCAACCACCACAATTATTGTGTCGAGTCATTGTTTACGTTTGCGACATTGGCTCCAATGAATGCTCAGTGTCGAGTTGAACAAAATGAGTTCTTACTTTAAATGTCAAAACCTGCTATTTAAAATCATGATATTTTGACGTAGGACTACTTCTGTGATTTCTATATGGGGGTACACTTTGTGAAAACCAAAAATGGAACATGTAACAAAATTATGAAAGATTTTGAAAGTTAATAATTCAGCTGCGCCTGGACTAATTTCAATAATTTTAGCATCAATCGATCAGAAATATTTCTACGCATCTACACATAAATTCAAGACTTTATCATTTTTCAAAGTGTCACTGCTGATAATTGCACGAATGTGCAACTGCTGCTATGATAATTAAAATTATCACCGATTGCCTGCGAAAAGCGATTTACCTAACACAGATTTCAAAGATGCATTCCATCCGGTCTCACAATAGGTGTTTATTCAATCATCGCGTGGTGAGTGGTGGTGTTCTCCAGTACACAACGAAAGGCTGCGTGCAAGCAGCAAGCTGCAGCCCACATGAGCTCCCATAGAAGGAAGAAGAAGCCGCACCGCTATTGATCGGAATCAGTAGCTCTTCGTGAGTCGCTGTGGGCGTTCTATGTCAAACGCGTCATACTAAAGAGTATAAACAGAGAGAACCCGCTCAAGTTCATATTGCTACACAAAACCCAAGCTCCTGCAGCAGTTAACAAATAATAATTTATTATATAAGGCCACGTAGTTATAACTGATGTAAGAACTCAGCACTCACCAACTACCTACTCGGAGATCAAACATACAGCACCCGGTCGACTCAGGCGACAAGAGCAAGCTCTGGAACACCCAGGGTCGGCTAGCTACCGGGTAATCAGAGGGTTTCGCGATACACAAACGAAGAACTTTCACTTTTCTTTAAATGCTTTTATTTGCCACTTTCTGTGTTGTGTGCGTGTTGTTCTGTGTTCATAATTTCGTGTAATATGTGTCGTGTAGCCTAATCGCGTTGTTCGCTGTACCTGTACATACCGCTGCTGCCGTTGATGGTGAATCGGGATGGCCGACACAGTGACTCCTGTCCTACTGTGCGGCCGGAACTCTCGCCAGATTGGCGAAGCGAGCGGATGAAAGGCCAGCGGGCGTTGCTGGACGGTGGGATGGCAGGCGTCGTCCTTCGTTGGCACGATCGGCCGACCGTGGCAAGGCCACCTTGGTCAAGCCGAGAAGGGAAAACTCCTTTGCGATTATGGCCTACGTTTGGCCAGATAGTAGTGTTTCGGCTCGGAAACTGTTTCCAATATTTCCCGAGCCGGCCGTGTGCTGACGGATTACCTTTTTAAGGTCCAATATAAAAAAGAGGTCCTATCGGACGAATACGTAATTAATTTACGGTTTTTGGTGCAGGGTATTTAGTTACCTGAACGTTAAATTTCCCTAGCGCACACTAGCTGTTGCTAGGGGGGGGGGTCCTGGTACACGTTCAAAAACAGCAACTACTGCACTTGCTAATTAAAATGCGTCTTAGCACACGGACGCCTGATATTAAAAGAGGCCGATTTTGGGCAATGGCCGTTCTTTCTCCCAATTTTGTTTCATCCCGTCATCCCGTCATCCTTGTTTTGTATAGTTGTTTGTAGCTCTATGGTGGACATAACGTAACGGCACAACATTTTCACAGCGGTACAGAACCCTATCACTTCTGTGGTATACTGCTGTTCTTGCACAAGAAACGTGAAGGCTCTGAATATATAACATAAATGACAAAAACCTATGAATTTGTGACCAAACGGTTACACTATCCACCACCCCGATAAAAAAAATGTGAAAGCACGAAGTGATTTTGCATTTTTTTAATTTGCTCCCTAAAGTCATCTTCAGCCATCATAGGTTCGTGGATGTGCAACATAAACAACATTCAATTCACAATCTATAAACAATTTATCTCTAAAACGCGCGAAATCATAATTCAAGTTTACTACAAATTAAAAATATAAATAATAAAAACATGCTAAAATATTGGGTTCTCGAGAACATACACAATTATTATATTTAAAATTATTAAAATGAAAATAATTCAACACATGCTATAATCTTACAAAATAAATAAATAAAATTATTAAAATAATCCCGTATTATGGGTAGACAACTCTCTTTGTATCATTTTACATCATTGCTGCGCAGCGAAAAACAATTATATTTACACAACCCTATTTACAAGTATTTACACCACTTTAGATCACATTCGGTACGCACGGCTGAATCCCCTGGCGGGATTAATTCACCGGCGGGCAAACTGTCAACTGTTGACATTTCGCGTGACATTTCGTATTGTATCAATTGCAACTGTCACAGCATATCTATTGTTTTTATTGTTTATTTACTTTATGCGTAACAGTGTGAAATCGGGAAAACATTGAAGTGATTAAAGTTTTAAAAGTGGCCAAATTTGGACGAAACGTTTCGGTAAGTAGTACGTACGTATATAGCATAACGAGTATTGACTTCGTTTGTATGCGTGTGTGTCTTTTTAGGAGAGCTCACGTATTTGGGTTGTTGTGCTAAGCGGCTACAATCTTTGCTCGAAAGATTGGCCCATAGTCAACCCAATAATTCCCGGGATACCGTGAAAGCCATCTTGACGGTGCAAGATGCATTCAGGTAAGTAAAGTGTACACATTAAAATCAATCAACAATGATTGAATGTTTGATTTTAACTAGGCCGATTAAAACATGGGGTTGTTCCACCCCGACATTTGGACAGGTCGTAGATGAGGGCAAGACGTCATCCCTCTTCGTCTACCGATTCTGCCAATGCCGGTGGATCCCCGAAATAGATCAGGTAAGTATGATCCATTCCCAAATTGTTAGCTATCCTTCCGTTTAATGACTGACCGGATTCCTTCATCCCTCAGTGCAACTTGGACAGGTATAGACTAACCAAATTAACGATTCTCCTTAACAAATTAACACAATCGACTAACATTCCATAGTCCTTCGGTGTTAAAAATTGATAAAAATTTACTTTCTCTTTTTATATTCCAGGTTATTTTTCATCCGACACAAACCGACGTTAGCCCTTGTGACTGGGGACAAAAAATAATTCCCACACGACACTGGATGACGGACTTGTGAGTGGAATGTACCTAGGACTAAAAAAGAGAAAATATATGTTTCTAAATTGTATAGGTTTAGAACGATTTGTTTTTCTTTTTGTGATGTTTGAAAGAATGGGTTTGGGTTCCAGGTGTGCATCCGGAACGCGGAATATTCCTAGAATGTTCAAGTTCCAAAATCGATATAAATTTACTGCACAGTTCTTTGGCCGTAGGTTCCTCTTGAATATACTTTGTGGCCTTTTTCCTGATCTTAAAAGATCGGGTTTGCTTTCTTTGGGATTCGGGGTTCGAAGTTAGTGAGTTTGAAGTTTGGAAAGCTTTACCAGGTAAGTCGCGAGGACAGTTCGAAGAAGGAAGCTTCGACTTACTGGTGTTTTCCTGACTGTAAAAGCCGGAACTATTGCGTGACATGGGGCTTCTGTACGTTCCCTTTTTGACCTGAAGCAGGTCATCCGAATCTGAATCGGATTCGCTGAAGGACGGATCTAAATCTTCCGAGTCAGAGCTGGGAACTATCAGCACAATATCTGATTCCGGGTCCGATTCGGGTTCCCTGTATTCGCATGTCGCGCTAGGGGGTAAAAATCGCGAATTAATGTCACTAGTGACGATGTTCATGTCACGCAAAAACAGGTTCATAATTCGTTTAAGTTTACTTACGTCTTCTGGCATGAGGCGGCCTTCTGTCCTCTGATTTCTTAATGTAATCAGAGTTTCTTCGAGGTCCAGTTCCAACTCCTCTAGCGGATAGTTGGGATGTGAAGATGGGAGCGGCCTAGGAATCCCAAGTGATTCCTCCAGGTCCGAATCATCTGCATCGTACTCCTCTGCTTGCCAGGTAATTGGCTCATAATTTGTTTGAGCCTTTGCTAGTTTCTTGCGTGTCATTGTTGTGGAGAATCAGTGGTGTGGGTAGTGGGTTAAAATAAATTTGTATAAAAACATCGCGTATGCGGATCAAAACAAACAGTGATAAACATCATTACAAATAGTGCGCGATTGTTGTCGTGATGATTGGACATGAAATAAATAAAGTTCAATTATGATTTATGATTTTTTTTTTTCACATAAACGATTCGCGATAAAAAACAAAAATAACCAACATCAACGAATTTAGCAATGAAAAAAACAACAATCGGTAGCAAACTGGGTTCAGGACCTCTTTTAATGAAAAACACTTCGAGTTTCGCAAAAATTTCACCAAAGTGCTAAAAAGTGAAGTGGAGACAAACATACGTGCAAGCACGGATCTCTGCCACCTCCCGTCGGAAAAATCCTTAGATTTTTGTATACTACGACGGACCCTTGATTACCTTTCGCGGACTTTTAGTTGGGTGCCAAGTATAACTGATGTAAGAACTCAGCACTCACCAACTACCTACTCGGAGATCAAACATACAGCACCCGGTCGACTCAGGCGACAAGAGCAAGCTCTGGAACACCCAGGGTCGGCTAGCTACCGGGTAATCAGAGGGTTTCGCGATACACAAACGAAGAACTTTCACTTTTCTTTAAATGCTTTTATTTGCCACTTTCTGTGTTGTGTGCGTGTTGTTCTGTGTTCATAATTTCGTGTAATATGTGTCGTGTAGCCTAATCGCGTTGTTCGCTGTACCTGTACATACCGCTGCTGCCGTTGATGGTGAATCGGGATGGCCGACCCAGTGACTCCTGTCCTACTGTGCGGCCGGAACTCTCGCCAGATTGGCGAAGCGAGCGGATGAAAGGCCAGCGGGCGTTGCTGGACGGTGGGATGGCAGGCGTCGTCCTTCGTTGGCACGATCGGCCGACCGTGGCAAGGCCACCTTGGTCAAGCCGAGAAGGGAAAACTCCTTTGCGATTATGGCCTACGTTTGGCCAGATAGTAGTGTTTCGGCTCGGAAACTGTTTCCAATATTTCCCGAGCCGGCCGTGTGCTGACGGATTACCTTTTTAAGGTCCAATATAAAAAAGAGGTCCTGAACGTTAAATTTCCCTAGCGCACACTAGCTGTTGCTAGGGGGGGGGGTCCTGGTACACGTTCAAAAACAGCAACTACTGCACTTGCTAATTAAAATGCGTCTTAGCACACGGACGCCTGATATTAAAAGAGGCCGATTTTGGGCAATGGCCGTTCTTTCTCCCAATTTTGTTTCATCCCGTCATCCCGTCATCCTTGTTTTGTATAGTTGTTTGTAGCTCTATGGTGGACATAACGTAACGGCACAACATTTTCACAGCGGTACAGAACCCTATCACTTCTGTGGTATACTGCTGTTCTTGCACAAGAAACGTGAAGGCTCTGAATATATAACATAAATGACAAAAACCTATGAATTTGTGACCAAACGGTTACATAGTCCTGCGTCACCATTGCGTACAACCCCATAGGGCTGTTTTTTAACAGTTTCGAATCAACATATCCCTCGATAACGGGATGAGTTTTGTTAAATAACCGACGAATTAATGAGTTTTAATGATTTGAAAACTAGGCTCGTGACCGGTAAAATTAACTTCATTTTAATACTACTATCTTGCATCTAGTTTAAAGAATTAAATGTATAAAGGTTGTGGTTTAAACAAATTATATAGTAATAATAAAATGAGATACAAATAATAGTAATATTGAACATTTTGAATGTTTACTGCCATTGGACAACTATAACCAACGATAGAAAGATATTCGTTAAATTTAAACTGCCTCCATAGTAATCCAATCTACATACAAACTTTGAACCATTTGCGCGACCTCAAAACCTTTATCAATCTTTACCATTTTTCGCAAATATTTTAAGATTATGAATCCAGAGGGTTGCCTTAATGATTGCAAACAGTTTTTAAATATCAAATCATCCTAGTGGTGGTCATTAGGGTGGGTCAAGTATGTATGGCAGCTTACATCCTACTGATCCCTGTTTGCACAAATAATGCAAGTACTTGACAAGAACTTCAGGAAACTCCAGAAAACATTAGAGATCTTTAGGAAAGCCAGAAAGATTCAGGAAAGTTCTGGTATCTTCAGAGCAGTTCCATGAACATTCTAAAAATTGTGCGAACATAACGAAAGTTCCTAAAATTTCAAGAAAAGTTTGAGAACTTCAGGACCGTTCGATTAATTTCAGAAAAGTTGCAGAATATTACGTTTGTTCCAAGAACAAAGTTGGCAGTCCCATGAACGTCAGGAAAATTGTGGTAACTTTAATAAAGGTACGAGAATTTCAGACAAAAAAAAATCAGAGCTTTATGTTAGTTCCATTAACATCAGAAACATTGCGGGAACCTTCATGAAGTTTCAAGGGATTTCTTTGAATTTAAAGAAAGATCCGCAAACTTCAGAACTACTCTGAGAACTTTCAGAGCTAAGGGGAAGTTATAAAGTCCTTTATGTTAGGTTTCAATTGCTTCAGGGCAATTCCACAGATTTTAGGCAAATTTCGAGATCTTTAGTGGAGATCAAAAGCTTCAGGATCGGGACAGTTCCATTAAATTCAGGAAAATTTCAGGAGTGTTACAGAAGTAGCCAAAACTTTATTTAAGGGTAGTTACATGAACTTTGGGGCAGTTATAAGAACATCAGTGCAGTTCCATGGATATTGGAAAAATTGCAGGAAATTCATATGTTTCATAAAAGTTAGCAAATAGCGAGAGTTTTCAAAAATTATCGTTAAAGTTATCACAGGGAGGTTTAGAGAACTTAAGAAAAAAAATCAGAAACTTCTCAGAATCTTCGAAAAATTCTCGGAACAGCAGAGAACTTTGGGCAGCTTAGAGACCTTTTTGGCAGTTCACGGGCAATTCCAGGAACATCATCGAAGAGTAGATGAAGTTCAGAAAAGTACAGAGATTTTCAGAAGTTTGTAATATTTAGGACCATTCCATTTATTTCTGGGGGAAGGGGAGTAAAAAACTATTGTTGTCTTTTCATATAAACATATATTCATATAAACATATATTCATATAAACATATAAATTCAATGGGCCTGATTGAAGCGATTTGGACAGAGAGAGTGGAATTTCCAACTACATGTTGTTAACATTTCATGAATTGAAGGTGGGCTCTTGTCCCCACTCATTGCGACATCCCCTTGTATGAGGGCTTGTTCTGTGTAGGATTGAAACACCATCTGTTTTTAGCCGTTCATGCAATGTTAAATTGAATAAACCAGGTATCGTTCTTGATCAAGTCATACGAGGTGGACAGTCTACTATCTAATGGCTGTGCCCTTTAACAATGAATAGTATCCTTTACATTACATGTATACATTTCATTTATTTCTGGGCAGTTCCAATAATTTCAGAAGAATCAGGGGAGATCAGATATCCTAAGGGATGTTGAATTAATATCAAGGAAATCGCAGGTATTTTACATAAATGTCAAGAAAATCAGAGAATATCCGAAAACTTTAGTAAAGTTTCGAGATCTTCAAGAATGCCCAGATAACTTCAGATAAATGTTGGGAATCTTAGGCAGTTTCATATTTTTGTTCACAGGAATTATTCTGGAATGCTTAAAAAATAAAGAATGTGCGTTGTCTTCACGGCATATCAGGAAAACTGTTGGAACGATGAAGACGCTTCGAGAACTTTCTAAAAATTTAGGAACTTCATGAAGAAACGAAAACATCATAAAGCGAGAAATTTATGGAAGTTCAGAGATTTTAAGGGAAGTTTCGACAACTACAGGAAAAATAACTTAGAGTTTTAAGATAAAGAAGTTTAGAGAGCTTTTTTGCAGTTCAGAGATCTTTAGGGCAGTTCTAATAACTTCAAAGAAGCACCGAAAGCTTTAGAAATGTCTCTCCGAGAATTTTAAATACCTTGACGAATTAGTAATTTATTCCGGCTTAATTCTTGCCTTCAAGAAAAAGCACTGATTACAGTTTCATCAACGCCAACGTTTCGGTCCATAAATTTGGATCAGGGCTAGTTTTAGTTTTAGGTCATAAATCGTTTTGCGCTACACGAATGAGAGTAGAACTCCACTCTTCAGGGGATATAACAAGTAATTTTGCCTGTAGACTTGGAGACATACTTCAAGTCTCCGCGTACATCGTACGGGTTAGGCAAAAATGTGCGTCTATCTTTAAAAACTGTCGCATTAATGGCCCTTCGCTCATTTTCAACTTCTATTCAATTTGCATACTGCCGTACTCTAACGGAACTATCCACCTACCCTCTTCTAAAGATCATTCTCTAGCTAATAAATCATCACACTAAAAGCTTCATGTTAGCATTTCCAACCAACTCCAAGTAATTTTTTTTAAATAAAATAACTCTTTGTTCCAGCCAATCAACAAGCAACATTATTAATTAATGTTCTATTTTCTTTGCAGGTAAGCCTCGACAATATTGACTTCAAACTCTATTGATAGTAAGTAATACACACTTGAAAATATTTTAAAACAAGTATTAGTACTGATATACTATAAAAAGTCAGAAGCCCTTTAGATTGCACATATGTAAAATTTAATAATTCATAATAAATAAATAAACAAATAAATAGATAAGTATTATTGTAAGTTAAAAAAATAGTTTGTAACGAATGTGTTTGACACATGAAACCTGTCAATATTGCTTTCAGAGCGTCACAATAAACGATTTTATGATTCAGGAGAACGCTCACTCTGATAGAACGCTCACTCTGATAGAACGCTCACTCTGATAGAACGCTCACGAATCATAAAATCGGTGATTGTGATGCTTTGAAATTGAAATTGACAAGTTTTATGAGTAAAACACATTCTTTACAACCGCTTCTACTACCTTCTTAGTAAAAAAAATATCATTATAGCATCCTATGGTTCCATAAATCCTAACAATATTTTGTAAAACGAAGTGAATGGAATCAAGCCTTCTGGTAACATGTAACCAATCCTGCTTCTAATCAATGTATGATTATATGTTTGCCGAGTATGAGACAAAACATTACTGCACTTAATTTTTTCAATAAGAAAAATGACCCCTTGGACTGCTCCCAGTTTCTTAACCGATGTGATATTTCATCAAAAGCCTACCAAGCTATTTTACCGAATAATAAAACAAAATATTAAACCTTTAACGGTTCTCTTTTCAGCCATAGTGCAAACAAAAATTAATATTAATGTCATTATTGTGATCTATACCCCAGCCACAGTGTTACCACTACCGTGTGCAAATATGGATCGCTTCGGTTAATGATATGCTTTGCTAATTTATGACCCATGATAAATGATCCGGCACCCAACAACCGCAATCCACAAAACCGAAGCCCTGTAATTGAAGTCGTGCCGTACGAATCTCCACTCGACCATCATAGACCACGGTTGACTTAGCCTCACAGAACCCGGCAGTTCGAGTGTAA